TATATATATATATATATATATATATATATATATATATATATATATATATATATATATATATATTTGGTTCGGAATTTTTTACTCAATACCAAATTAAGTCAAATCAAATCTAGTCGGGTATTTTAATCAGTTTGATTTGGTTTTTTGGTTTGATGCGGTTTCCGGTTCGGTTTGAACACCCCTAATTGCAGCATTGCCAAAAAAATCAAACTCGAAAAAACATCAGCAATTCATGATCTAAACGGAAGCTAATGCACTATAATTCTGATTAACCTTTTGGTATATTTAAAATAGTTTTGCAAACTTTAATATTTTAACCAGGAAAAAAAAAAGGAAAAGAAGACAAAGGCATTCCCAATTAACCCAATTTTGTTTATCATCCTCGTAAGGAAGCTACATCTATTGGCAGCATACGTGTTTCCTAATTTTTGGATTTGGGGTTCGAGAAATTTCGCCCGTCACACTCATGCGCATATTTAACATTTTTATTTTTGTTTTTGATAAGCTTAAAGGAATCCTAAAAGGTATATGGATTTTGGAGGTGCATGGAGGTTCTAACTTGTAACGACTTGTTTGGTACGAGGGATAAGGGACAATTAATTCTAAAATTAAATTTGAGATGAGTTTATCTCATGTTTGATTGAGATAAAGTCGCAACAGTTTTTGGATTAATTATTCCCGGATTATAGTGTTATTTTTATCCCTATAGAAGAATGGGATGACAATCCCAAAATAATTAATCCCGAGATAACTTGTTTACCGAAATAATTAATTCTGAGATCAGTAGTAATCGTTTTGATTGGTTGAAAGTTTTTTTATTTATTTAATTTTCTAGCTGATATTTGGTACCCAAATTGAGGTCCAATTAAAATGAGAAGCGTTTCCTATCAAATTTTATTTTTCAGTCCTTTAATCCGAAACTTGTTTCCTATCAAATTTTATTTTTCAGTCCTTTAATCCGAAACTTCTAGTTAAGCTTGACAGAATATATATATATATATATATATATTAGTTGAAAGAATTGATGCTATTAAGCTTGAAATTTTAATTTTCTCTCTACTCCTCACACATGGACTGCACCAATTAGCGAAAGATTTGGTTGATAAAATCCGATTGAAATGATTCCCCATTAAATGATAAACAAGATATGCATTTTATTTCATTTTATATGGTATTTTCTATTTATACAGTTATTCTCGTTTATTATAACTAGTTATTAGGTACGTTCATTGCGCTTGTACTTCATATTATTGAGTATCAATAAGAAAAAAAAAATACAAGTTTGTTAATCATGTTTAGCCAACTCAATAAAGCAAGAACCCTAATTTACAGAAATCTTCGCATCTTTATTGGAAATTCGATATATGAGTAAAAATATATGGTGTTTAACATGATCATGCTTATCTGTGATCTTGGCACGGTGACGCAACTAAAATTAAGCGTAACAGATAAATCAACAATTTAAATATATCACAAAAGTAAAAGAAATAAGGACGAAGATGTTATGTATAGAACATTAATACATCAAATATTGGTATCAAGTGAAAAGAAACAAAAGACATAAGCTAAGAATGGTTCGCAAAAGAGGAAAAAGAAAAGTAAAGACAAAGACAGAAAAAATAACTTTGAATTCACGAGATCTCGCCATAATATTATTTTTATCGAAAAAAAGAAGAAGAAGAAGGAAACACTATAAGTCCGAAAAACATCAAGCATAAGCATTAAATTTTCTTTCTTTTTCATTACCATACTTCCGAAATGTACATGGCAATTGGTATAGTATTATAGTATATCTTATTTTCCATGCTATGATATTGGATGTATTACTGAAAGTTGTTCATCTAGAAATATCATTGCAAAACTAATGGGAGTGAATGAATTCTGAGGAAAGGGGATAATAAAGCCACAAAAGTTGATCCAAAAAATTCTTGACTTTTTGTCTCCCATTCATTACAAACGTAGCCTCCCCCATTCAGTCCTCCTATATTTCTTTGTATTAAAGATGGAACTTTTAATTGTTACATTAATATTTCATGATCTTTAGCTGTGAATTCACAAAAAGAAAATAGACAAAGAACACCATTTACATTGAAATTTTTAATGCCAACATAAATTTTCCTATCATTCCAAGTTAGACTTTATAATTGTATACGGATAAAACCGGGCTCACGGTACACCCCGGTCTCTGATAGAATAAATCGAGCTCAAATCACTATGACGAAGGACCGGAATCAAAGTAAGGGTCTCATCGAGTCAGAGTCAGGGGGCATGACGCCCACCCTCGAGAATATCAGGATCATGATCTGTGGTCGATCCAAACCCCGAAAGACTTCGAAGAAGATTGTCAGGCAATCAAGCACGACCCTCAAAAGACCGTAATATCCGCGACCGACTGGATATCATGGCGTGAATCTCGGTACGTATCGATAAAGAACCGGCAATCAGTTAAACAGAAGATTTTTTACCTTTTATGTAATTGTACCTAGAGTAGGATTCCTCTACTATATAAATGGGGGTCTGATAACTCACGGTAAAACACATTTCAAAGCAATATATTATTATTTTTCATTCTTGTTCTGGTTATTTAGTGTTGATCTATGTAAGCCCAAATCGGGGTGGACATATTACATTGAGGCTATAACCATCTTCATCACGTGGTTTGAGATTAATACATCTTTATTTACTTAATCTAACGTTGTTTATCGTTTGTATCGAATTATTCCGCATATTCTTAAAACTACTTACAAATTTAATTGTTATCCAATTTTGAGGGTAAACAGTTTGGCGCCCACCGCGGGGCTAAGAATAATAGTGGTGATTTGATACAAATTTCTATAACACACCCTACTTTACACTTGTTCTTTTAAGTGTTTTTTATTTCAGGTCAAAATTTAAAATGTCGAACTCTCAATCTGCCCCTCTAAACATGGATGCTGAGTCTGACCACCATGACGAGAACAATAACATGGTTCCCGGTAACAAGGTGCCCCCTGCCGATCCCAATGGAATTTCGGCCACGGACACGATCGACACTAACTCACATGTGGCCATTAACGCAAATTTGCCTACCGACCCTGAGAATAGCATTAGCGTGGAATTCGAACAGTAGCCCAAAATACACGTGACGATGAAGGAGATGGGATCAACTTGCGGGTGATCTTCGAAATGCTACAGGCTCAACAGGCAGCGATAGCCCAATTACAAAACCAAAGCCACGCCCTCAGCAAAGTTGAGCCTGAGCCATCCCGGGGAAACACTCATAGAAATGAATCAGCCGCGGATAGGACAAATGAAGCTGCATTCGAACCAACCTGGAGATACTAAATATGCTCGAGGAATTGACAAAAACGGGTAGAAACGAGAGAAAAGAAAATCGAGGTCAACGACAAAAAGGTGGAGACCTACAACTCCAGGGTCGATCAAATCCTGGGAGCACCACCGATACTGAAAGGCCTAGATTCCAAAAAGTTTGTTCAAAAACCTTTCCCTCCAAGTGCAGCTCCGAAGTCGATCCCAAAAAAGTTCCGCATGCCCGAAATTCCCAAGTATAACGGAACAACTGACCTAAATGAAATTGTGACCTTCTACACGTGCACCATCAAGGGGAACGACTTGGAAGATGATGAGATTGAATCTGTACTGCTGAAAAAGTTCGGAGAAACCCGGTCAAAAGGAGCTATTATATGGTATCACAACTTACCCCCCAATTCTATTGACTCGTTTGCTATGCTTGTAGATGCTTTTGTAAAAGCACATGCCGGAGCCATCAAGGTCGAGACCAGGAAGTCGGACCTTTTCAAGGTAAAGCAAAGAGATAACGAGATGCTTAGGGAGTTCGTGTCAAGGTTTCAAATGGATCAGATGGATCTGCCGCCAGTGGCAGGCGATTGGGTTGTTCAGGCCTTCACCCAAGGGCTCAATACTCGAAGCTCATTAGCTTCGCAGCAGTTGAAGAAAAATCTGATAGAATATCTGGTCGTTACTTGGGCCGATGTAC